GCAGGATCCAGGACTGGTAAACTAGCCATAACAAAGCAGGATTTTACACATGGAAATATCCTAAGGGTAAGACTAACCCAAGGCTAATCCGGAAGCTCTTCATGACTGAAAGATGACTGAATAAGAACTTGCTCAGAAGAACCAAGCCTAAGAGTCTGGGTGCTTTCTATGACCTGGTGAGTTAAGGATGTGCTCAGAGAGAAAAATACCCAGGAATAAGACAGTCAAGTGGGAGGTTATAGCTGAATAGAAGCACTGTGGTTCAAATAAAGACAAGCTTAACTATCCCAAGACAGATCGGTTTGCCCATGGTACTTTCTATAGTCTTCTCCAGCATCACAAATGCACTGATTCTTCTTCAGTCTTCCTGATTCAATGTCCACCTTTCACATGCACGGAGGCAATGGAATGCACCATGGCTAGGGATAGAGGGCTCCTTAGAAGGAAGGGTGCAAGACTGTATCTTACACCTGGAGAAGGACATCATGCTTAGTAAAGTGGAGGGGCAGCAAAGGAGAGGAAGACCCTCAAGAGGGATTGACACCATGGCTTCAACAATGGGTTCAGGCATAGGAACAATTTTGAGGGGGCACACGACTGGGCAGCATTTGGTTCCCTTGTGCATGGGGCTGCTCTGGGCCAGAACCAGCTCGATGGCATCTAACAACCCCACCACCACCACCACTACCCCCAAACCATTCCAAGAAATCCTACAAGCTGTTATAGGTTCAGCTGGTGATAGAGGGGAAATCATTCCTGCCAGTGTAGGATGTCCTGGGAAGCTCAGGAATCCAAAAGAAAATAGCTTGCCATAAGGACTGTTGACTAATCTGTCAGTCTGTCATCCTGAGGTGGCTTGTATGTTGCTATGATGCTAGAAGGTATACTACTGGTATTTCAGATACTAGCAGGGTCACAGCTTCCAAACTACCAAACCCCAAACTAAGCTCACTGCCAGTTGGTTGCAACCCATAGCGACCCTCTGCACAACAGAACAAAACACTGTCTGGTCCTGCACCATCCTCACAATTGTTTCCAGTTCGTTGAGTCTGTCTTTCGCTGCCCCTCTGCTTTACCAAGCATGTCGTTCTCCTGATACTGTACATCCAAAATATAAGATGAAGGCTTGCCATCCTTGCTTCTCAGGAGCACACTTTATAGGAGGAGAAAATCCTCATTTTTCTCCAAAGGAGTGACTGGTGGTTGTGAACTAATGACCTTGCAGTTAGCAGGCCAACTCGTAACCACTCTGCCACCAGGGCTCGGTAGACTAAAAAGGGCACTAACCTACTTCCAATTATCAACCAGTGAAAACCCGATGGTCACAACAGAATGAGAACCTGGGTTGAAAAGTACAATAGCCAGGGGCTGCAACAATTGGCTTCAGGATATTGTCACGAGGCTGGCTCCGGTGGGGGCAACAAGTCATTCTGCTGTGCATGGGAACACAGTCACTAACAGGGCTGCTTGGGGAGGGTGGGAGCTGGGTAGCCAGCAACAGGCAGACTTGCTAGAGATAGTATCAAAATATGTACACGAGGAGCCCAGATGAGACTTCCTCCTGCTTCAGAAGGACCCAAGCACACAGAGAAAACCAGCTCTTTGCAAGTAGACTTGAGACAGAGACCTGAGGCCCAAGGCCCTTTGCTTGAAACAAGAACAAGGCTCATCATCTTCTATTTCCTGCCACACAGGGCAATTTGGGTCAGCAGTGAAAGAGGGTCCACTCCAGCCAGCCAGAAATATATATTTTCCCCCTGTAAAGGGACTGTCAGTCTGTGTGTGGAAAAGTACAAGTTTTCCCACACATCATGAAACCAACAGCTAGCTGACCTCTGGGGAACTCCTTTCCCACTACCTTCAAGCTTGACTTGCCTGAGCTTCACTCATTTATAGGACCATCCTGAGATTCAGAAAATGGCTTTCATTAAAAAGATCTATGTCATGTAGCATATGAGGGAATGTTGAAAAAGTATACAAAGCCAACTACTGATCTCTTTTAAGAAGTCAAATTTACGTTAGGGGAATATGCCATTAAAACCCAAACTTAGCAAGTCCTTTCCATCTGCCCTTCATCTGAATTCCTCAGCCCAGCTTTTATGAACATGTGACCCAGCATGTGCAAGAACACATGGGCTCCCTTGTTTCTAGAAGATAAGGCCGCTGTGGGGGCCCCTTCTCCTGAGAACTACTTTATCTCTCCCAGCCACCTTGGGAGAGACAGCTAGAGGCTCCCCGAAGAAGTCAGGATATGGCTTGCTATATACACTGCTTAGTAAACAGTATTTATGAACTCAACATGGGATGACTTTCTATGTGTCAACATATGCTGTTCTAATGGGACTGTATGTATGAACTTGATGAGTCTCCAAGGTATTTTAATGCTATCCTTGTTTGCAGAAAGGAAGATCAGGAATCTTTTTCTAAAGGGCAATTTAGTTCAATTTGCATCAAGACCTTAAAAATCTAAACCCATTTCCAATAAATTAAGGAAACAAACAAAAAATGTCAACATATGGATGCACCAAGATGCTCATTGTATCATATGGAGAGCTGTGAAAAACCAGTACACAACATTGAACATGAACATGATTTAATGAAGGTAGATCCACATATAGCTATTAAAAATGGCATTTTTCCAGGGGGTTGGGCGGAAAGAGAATGTTTTGAAAATGATGATGGCAGCAGATGTGCAAACGTGCTTGACACAATGGATGGATGTATGGATTTTGATAAAAGAGTTGTACAAGCCCCACATAAAATGATCTTAAAAAATACATTTAAAAATGCCATTCTGAATAACTTAATGATAAGGGAAAATGTTTGAGATTTTTATGGCAGTAAAGTGCAGGATGTAAACTTACACAGTATTGTCCCAGTTTGGGGGTAGGCGGTGGGGTGTCTAGTAGACACATTTATATCCCATAGAAAAAGATTAGAAGTTAACCTATTTTCTTCTTCCTATGATTATAATTAGAGGTTTCTTTTATACACAGAATATTTCTTTTCAAAATAACCTAAGGCTAAGAGAATAACCATTTGAGGCATCTGTCACACAAGGACAGACACACTGGTGGTTCAAGGGTGGATTTCCCACCTTCTGCAAAGGAAATCTGGTTTCAATTCTTTTTTTTTTTAACATTTTATTAGGGGCTCATACAACTGTTATCCCAATCCATACACACATCAATTGTGTAAAGCGCATTTGTACATCGTTTCTCAAAA